AAATCATGACGTGTGCCAAGGAGTTGTTAATCAAAATTAATTTTGTTGAACAAGTCTGAAACGGTAAAGAAATAAAAAAGAAGAGAAGTAAAAGAATAGTAAACCTTCTACAAAAAAAAATTATGACAAAATTAATTTTTTGTTCCATATTGTCAATAATTTAAAGAGATATTATGTTTGCGTTAGAGATTACGCTGCGATGATAACAATAAAACAACTACAACAAACCAACGCGACAACTAAAGTTACAATGAAGCTTTAGTTGTTCAAAAATACGATTTCAATTTAAATAAACGTTGAGGAATTGCAAATCATGTCATTAGTCAAAATCATGTCATTAGTAAAAGAGTAATAAATCAAGATTAATTATGTTCAGCGAGTCTTGAGTTATCGAGTCTTGAGCGGTAAAGAAACAAACAAGGAAATAGGTAAAAGAGTAGTAAGCATCCAACAAAAAATTATGAAAAGATTAATTTTTTGTTTCATATTATCAAGAATGTAAAGATACATTATGTTCACATTATCTTCTACAAAATAGCCTTAATTGTTTAAAATTATGTTTAATTTTAATAAACGTTGAGGAATTACAAATTTGATATAAAATCATGTCATTTTTCAAAGAGTAGTTAATCAAAATTGGTTTTGTTAAGCAAGTCTGAAACAGTAAAGAAATAAAAAAAAAGTAGTAAACATGCAACAAAAAATTATGAAAAAGTTAATTTTTTGTTACATATTATCAATAATTTAAAGAGACATTATGTTTACTTTATCTTCTACAATGAAACTTCAGTTGTTTAAAATTACGATTTTAATTTAAATGAAAGTTGAGGGATTATAAATTTGATTAGCAATCATTTCAATTGTCAAAGAGTAGTTAATCTAAATAAGTTTTGTTTAGCGAGGCTTGGGTTATCAACAAAGAAACAAAGAAGTAAAAGAGTAGTAAGCAGATTTATTTCTGAAGAACAAAGATACGTTGGTTTCGGAAATATATTATTGATTGATAGAAAATGTTTATAGATGAACTGCTCTTTTATTTATAACAAACCATGCTGTGAGCTTCCAAATATAGAATAAAATCTGCAGAACTTAATCTTGTGATTAGACACTTAAGAAATATGCCCTGGGAAAAAGTACGGTCGAAACGACGATAATATTGAACTTATTGTGTTTATGGTTCTATGTGAGCAAGAAAAAGCTCTATGGTTTTTACCGAAGCGGCTTTGGTAATGATTGTGGTTAAATTAACAAAAGAAGATAGTTTTATAATATGTGATAAAAATTTATTAGTGTGGTAAAATTTGGTGTAATTTTATCATGTTATTTTAGAGCATGGCATAAAAACCATTTATTTTGTTAAATTTACTTTTCAATTATGCATTTTTACTAAATGGGCTGTAATAAGAACTATAAATTTGAAAACCATAATTTCCGATAAATCGTTACCATATTAACGGAACATTACCATATTAAATACCGTATATTTTGGCTTTTATTACCAGATTTATGTTGTTTTTACCAGAAATGTCAAAACCATACAGTATGGTTATTTTGCCAGAAACAATTTCTCAGTTTAGTTTTTACGGAGTGAAGTTTTTAGATATGCATAATGAATCATATGGGCATAATGACGAATTTAAAAAAGAAATACACAACTACTCCAAACATGTTTAGCGTTTATTTTCTACCAAATACATTGGAAGAGAAATAAATTAGGAAAAATTCTTATTGTAAAGTAGGAAATTATAATAGCTATTGCATTAAGTTGGCTTTAAATATCCGAGTTGGTCTTTGGACTAGCTTGATAGTACAATCACGTTTTCAGATTTATTAAACAAATTTAAGCGTATTGTCTAACGGAAATTAGCTGCTGAAGCATTTTTAAAAATTTAGTTCAGTTTTTTTCTGAAGAAAGGTATATCACTTGAAAAACATTTTTAAGCCTTCGTTTTTAAACTCAACTCAATTGATTTTGAATTTCAGAAGAAAGATTAAAGAAAACGTATACGTTTAGGCATTTAAATGCTTGTAAAAGTTTTTGGCATTTTTTGAAAAGAATTAAAATTCGTATACTCTCTTTAAAACTTTTTAAATTTTAGTGCAATATTTTTTTAAATAGTATTTTAAATCGAAGTAATTTCTTTCTCTAACTCGAAAAAATTTCATGTAAAATTTAATGTGCTTGTATAAAAATGACATTTCTGGTTTTAAAAAAAAATAATGATTCCGATAGTAAAATAGTAAAACCAAAACACTACTTAAACCATTCATTTGATATTTTTTCCATTTGTATGTTGAAGGTTTGGTATGGTAATGGTAAAGGATTTTAAATGAAAAAAAAATGTACTTAATTCTCTGCTCTTGAAACACTATCCTTACTATGTATTTTAAACTTGTGTAGGAAATAAATTGATAATCACCTATAAGTAAATGTTAAATAAAGAATCCGTTGTTATTTAAACACTAACATTTACCGTCATATAACTACTTTAGTATTGGTATAATCCATCGTTACCTGAATTAATGATTTCAATTAAGCTTTATTTAATACACAGTTATTTATACAGTCCTTGTTTAATGTTTATGCAGATACTGTATACACAGTATAAATTCGGAAAAAAACAGTCCTTGTTTGTATACGGAAAAAAAAATTCTGGTAAATATACCGTACTTGTATAGCAATGATAGTTCATATAAAAAAACTTAATTCTGGTTAATAAAGCCAACATATGTGGCATTTTAACCATTTATTTGGTAAATTTTTCGTTCATATGGTAAAAATTTACTGGAAATTCTGGCTTTCAAAATTATAGTTCATAATATAACACATTTAGTAAAAAATACAAAACTGAAAAGTATATACAATTGAATAAATAGCTTTTATGCCACGTTCTAAGGTATCATGATAAAATTTCCGAATTATATTACATATACCGAATTTCGTAACATAATATAAAACAATATTTTATTGCTAATTTTACCAAAATCATTACCATAGCGTTTCGGTAAAAATTACCGAGCTTTTTGGTGTTCCCGTAGATTCAGAAACACGATAAAATTTACCATATTCAGGTAGTTTTGACTATATTTTCAATGCACTATAAGGGTTTTTTATTACTTTCTTTCCTTAAATAATGATAAAATTACTAAGTTTTCTTAAATAAACATTTGCTATCTGACATTGTAGTCTTAATGCATATTTATCAAAAACATTAATACATTGTAATGTATGCAATTATCACATAATTCCTAATACATTCACCCCAAAGAAGATTAGCTTTCTATTTTCAAGATATATAAATAAATTAAATGTTAAATAAACATATTTTATCGATTACATTTTATTCTGGATTATATTTGCATGGTGTAAAAATGCTCCAGTAATAGTTTTGAGTCGTTATTATAATAATAGTTTCATTTTTATGCAAAAGCTGCGTTCTTGTTTGTCGTATTAAATCCTTTAAAAAAAGAAATTTTTATGTTTTAAAATGTAATCACTTTTTTAGTAAATTTTGTCTCAATAAAACAGTTTTACAACTAACAGTTATAACACATTACCACTATTTAAATCAAATAATATGTATTTCGTTTTTTTATAAAAATATTTTATTTTTAGCTTTTAAACTAACAAAATATATAAATAGACAATTTATTTAATCTTTTTCAGTTATTGAGAAGTTATTAAAAAAAATTTTAAATGCATTTATTTGTTAAATCTCTTCGTAGTATATTTTTTGATATAATATCTTAAAAATATTATATTTTTAGCAACAATTTTATCTTTACAAACAATAATTTTAGTGTGTTTTAACCTTTCGAAGAGTACTATTATCTGATCTCTCTTTTACGAAGGAAAGCATATGAAAAGTGAAAGAGAAGGATTCTTAAAAATCCTCTCTTATTTTTCTCAAATTTTTTTTTCAAAAAGGAAACATTTTATCTCAAAAATGCTTCCAAAAGTTCAAAGAAAGCGAGGTTCAAAGGAAATGAATAAAATACAAAGTATTCTTTATTGAATGCCTTAAAACAGATGTTCGCAAGTGATGTTTCGCGGAACCCTAAGGTTCCTTTGAAGAATTAAAGGGGTTCAGCGAGTTTTATAGCCAATGATTTGTTTTGAAACCTCTGATTATATTAAAATACAACCTATAACTCATAAATACTTAAGCCTTTCGGTTGCTTTTGTGAAATTATTTTAAGTAAAATATCAATGAAAGAAAAATGGCATTTTTTTAAAAGAAATATAATGTTTCCAGTAACAATATATTAAACAAATTATGAAAAGAATATGCATTTATAAAGTATTGTATTAATATTTCTTATCGCGCTTTTCAAATATATTTCCTTAATAACCATTATCCACGTTCATAGCAGGTTATTTTAATTTTCCTTTCGAAGTAAAGCATAATTCGGCTTATTTTATTCATTTTCTGCTCATGTATAAAAACCAAAAGTAAATTCATTACTAGACTAGATTTAGCACAAGGACTATAAATTTAACTGTCGGACATAAAACCTAATTTAAAATTATTAATTATAAAACGATGAAAAATCCTCATTCCTCTAATTAACCTTTTGGTGTTCCATGTTGTAGCATCATCTGTGGTCCGCGTGTTCTACCAGCCATAAGCAAAAGATTAAATATTTTAAAAATAGACTTCTACAGGTTAAAACGTTAACAATTATCTTAATTTTATTTATTAAGTCAGGATTCCACCGAAAAAAGGAAGATTACTCTGGGCTCCGTAGCCGAAAAAAATTAGGCACCGCTGCCTTAAAAGATTTTTTTTTTTTTTTTTTTTTTTTTTTTTTTTTTTTTTTTTTTTTTTTTTTTNTTTTTTTTTTTGTATTTCCGATGCCACAGAAGAAAATCAAAAAATATTTTTAAAAAAAACACTTTTTTATCGATAAGCAGACTAAAAGTGTTTCAAATATTAAACACATTTTTGGAATATAATTCAAGTCACTTTTAAAATGTTAAGCCAAACAACTAAATTTTTAAGCCAAATAACTAAACTTTTAAGCCAATAAGCAAAACTAAATGTGCTATTAATTTTTTTTTATTATTATTATATTTTTTTTGTAATTGGATAAAAAAAAATTTAACAAAATTTTTTTAGTTAAATAACAAAATTTATTTTTTCCTTCCTTAAACATTTTAAACCAGTCGAAATTTTTTTAAATGAATGTAAAAAAAGGAAGAAAAAAAAGCTGCCCAGTGTTAGAAAGGAACTAAGCAATTAAATTGTAAAAAGATTGGAGTAATTCAGCGTCATTTGTTTACCGTTGCACAACGACATGACATCATTATTTCAGTGTCCGTTGTTTCTTTGAAGTTGATTTCATAATTATAAACATAATTATATTCAACTCACAGATTCTTCTTTACGAACGATACCAGCAGGTTTCAAGAAATAAAAAACAAAAACAGAATACACTTAACTTCGAGAAAGCACTGTTGAAATCGACAGGAAACTGTCTGAAAACACAAGAAAATGTTAATGTTTCCAAAACAGTGAAGTAAGGCGTTGTTGTCATTTTTTCATAGGTCAAAACGTGTTTAAGGTTGACTAAGATGATAAGATATGAATGAAAAGTGAATTTTTGTGGCATGTGATACTTACGCGATCGGATGAATCTATTTATGAGTCCTAGAGTCAGCGTGCGGTGTTAATTGTAATCAAAAAGTGCGTCACTAATGTAACAGGTGTTAATTTTACTGGTGTGTCTTCCTTCAAGGTCACTATCTTCCGTTCTTTCCTACTTAGGTTTTGGTAAGTTGTTTTACGTTTCAGTAGCTGTTTCACTGTTTTAGTTGTAAGTTAAATTGCCTCATTTCAAAAAAGTGTTAGAATTCAGATGCTTTTACATCTAATGTACTTATAACTAATTGCAAATAGAAAACGTATGTAATAAGTCAGTAATGTTTAAACAATTACTTATATTAGTATACTGAAATACATTAGTGATATTAAAATAATTGAAATTTAACAGTATATCAAAGAGAATGGTAAAACTTAATATTTATTATTATTAAATGATATTAAGAACAATCAAATTAATAATAGTAACATTATTAATAATAAATAACTATAAATGTAATAAGGAATAAGTTGCTAAATTTTTATATTTGGAAAATGCGTAAAAATTCTAATACAAAATTTACAATAAAAATGCTTATAATGATAATGGCAAATATAAAATGGCTATGCTGAATAGTTAATATTTAAACAATTACTTCTATTAGAATGTTGAAAATGAATTAGTGATATTAAAATAATGAGTGAAAGTTCTACTTAACATTACCTATATTAAAGAAATGCAAAATCGTATAATTAATGTTGTTAAATTATATTACTTGCTGTGATATTACTAATTTATAATGTTATCAATTTTGTAGTGATATTATAATCAATTATAAAATTATTAAAAACATATTAAATAGAAAAATGCTAAAATAGCAATATAAAGAATAAAATTTCTAAAATTAACACTAAAAATAATAAATTTTGCGAAAATTACATTATAAATAACAAAAAAAAATATCGAAGAGCTTTGGTGAAGATTTTGGTAAATTTAACGATAAATTATGGTTTTATAATATGTGTTAAAATTTAGTGAATCAGGTAAAATTTTTCGTGAATTTATCATGATACCTTAGAGCAGGACATAAAAATCATTTATTAGGTTAAATTTATTTTCAGTTTTAGATTTTTTGCTATATACATGTAATTTAATAAGAGCTATAATCTTGAAAACCAGAATTTCCGGGAAAATCGTTAGCATATGAACGGAAAAATTACAAAATGACTGGTTTAAAAAGGTTTATTTTGGTTTTATTAACAAAAATTGTGCTATTTTTGTTAGCTAGAAATATCATTACAATACAGCACTGTTATTTTACCAGCTTTTTTTTTCTTTGTGCAAAGAAAAAGTAAAACTAAGCAATTATCTCTCAGTGTTATTAAAATCAAGTCTAACGGAAATTGAGTCAAATTAGCTCTAATTAGATCCATTTATGTGTATAAATTTGCATAGAAGTAAACTAATTAAAATATTTGAATTAAAAAATAGCTTGATCGAAACTTTTTTAAGCTTCGATAAATATGATGGCTAGACATCGAATTAAAATCTGATCAAATTAGATCTAATTTAAAAACATAATTTTTTTTTCTTTATGTAAAAAAATTCCAAAATAATGGGTAAAAATTTATCAAGTACATAAAAATCGAAAATCATATCTTGTTCTAAATAAAACTTCATTAAATTTTTTAAAATATTTTTATCTTGGATATTAATACAAAAGGAAAACTTTTTCTTTAACAAAAGCATCCCATTTAAAGAAATAAATAAACGGAAAAAAAATTCATCGGCAGGCTTTTTATTACACCTTTTACTAAAAAATTTAAAAGGAAAATGCAAATTAGGTTTTCTTTTTGGTCGGAGAGCTTTGAAAAATAATGATTTCGCTTTATCGAGAATAAAAATTCTCACGTGTTCTTTTTGATTTTCGACATTCATTAAAACTGCATTGGAATGAATCAATACTCCAGCAAGAAACGTTTGTTAACAAGACATATTCAACTTAAAATACAGTGGTATTTCAATTATTTTTGAATACACTCTAATTCCAAGCAGAATCTGAAATATTGAATTCGTCATATTTGGAAAAACTATTTTAAGGACATTAAAATAAATTCGATGGTAGATCCGAAACCAAGCGAACAAATAAAATAAATTAATTAAATTCGCTTCTCACAATGGGATTATAATAGTTTCATCAACTAGCATTTTTGATAACTTTCATTATTTTTTTTCTCATTTTTGCAGAGACATCATTAAAACTGGTCTTAAGAATACTATCCCTGCCTGTTTCGTTAATCCATTCTAGTTAAATTTATAGTTGGGTGTTAACACCTGCTCACTTTATGTTAAGAATAAACCTTAAAATTTCTACTAAAAAATTTTTAAGCATTTTTAATTAACGAATCCATATGATAAAATTATTTTACAATACCAAACACATTTCTATCAATTATAATTTTAAAAAAAGAACCACATAATAGTGAATTCTGCTATGAGTTCTCTAATTAAATTGCCCTTTCTCTTTTTTATTAAAGCACTGTTCACGGTTTTATAGTTCTCAAATATTTACAGAACACATTGGAGAAATTTTTCTGATTAAGGTATCTGACTAGAGTTTTTGTATTGCCGTTTTTGCACTTTTGTACATAAGCTTTTTAAATATCTTTAATTTTTGTTCCTCAATTTTGAGAACAGAATTTTTAGTTGTTTTTTCGCTTGCTGGCAGACGAAACAGAATAGTAATTGGATAACTACAAGTGATGTCATCGTGACGTTTGTCGATTTAGGAGCCAATCAGGTTCGACACACACATGATGTCGCATACAGGCATCTAATTAAATCTGATTTAAATCATATAGATAGGCAAAATTACTTAACTTCTTCTCGAATGGCAAGTATTCAAATACATTCCTTAAATGCATTTTCAGAAAATTGTTGATTTTAAGAAAATCTCATTACGCTAACACACATCGCAAAAAAAGTTAATTGTAAAATTCTTTGAAACTTTGTAAGTAGATTTTGCATATTGCTAGCTTAGTTTTGAACTAAACTCTTCTATTTAAACTAAACTGTAAGATCTAAATGTGAATATAGTATTTTTATCATGCTTTAAGTAAGAATGCTTGGAATTTTTCTTTAAGAAATCAAAACTGAGCATTATTATTCAGTTCTATTTCATTGTATATTTGAAATTTTTTTAAGATTTTAGTTCAAAACCCAGGTAATTATAATATTGATCTAAAAAAATTATTTTTATTACTCTGCATTACGATTTGTTGCTGATCTGTTATCGTGACATAAAAAATGTGCAGAGTTTATGCTCGAATATACCTTCATTTAGAAAAAATTCTAAAGTTTACTTTAGATTTAGAATGTTAACCAAAATAAAATTAAAATTTTAATTTAGGCTATTTTCAAAACAAATTGCGCAAACACTGTCTTAAATAATTTCTTTAACACTGCTTATTTCATTCGTACTCATACATTATTTATGAAAAAATGATATAACGTTCATTTCTTCGTTTATAAATTATTTTTAACTTTATGCAATTATGAGCGAAACTTTCACGTGCACTTTGCTTTGGTTACAGAAATTTTTTCAATCAAATTTTCATTTTTGACCTAAAAGATCAAATTTTACTTTCAAACCAAACATATTTTTCCTCATCAACTTGTCTACATTTCAGTTCTATTTTGCTCATCAAGGTTTAATAGTAATTAGTAATGTAATTTAAGCATAAACTAAATAAAATTATAATATAAAACAGTTATGCACATTTTACTTACGTTTCCAAAAAGACTCATAATGATTGAAAATGTATTTCAAATAGATAAAATAGTTCAGACGAAGGAAAACTGAGTTGCCATCGAATTTTTTTAATGAAAAAAATTTAGAAATATAATTATATGCGACATAAAAAGAAAACTTAAATTTCGTTTCTCTTCTACCTAACAAAATATAACTCATAATTCCTGTTCGAGAAAATTTATTTTGAATTTCATTCCATGTCTTACTTCCCTTCTTTTGGGAACCTGTCCGGACTATGGCGACTCAATCGTTCTATTTTGACCCCAATGCTTCCCGGAATATAAATGTCAAAATAAATTTTTTCAAAATTTTCGTACTGTAGAATAATTATTTTTCTAATTTTAAAAAAATCTGGTTAATAAAAGTAAAACATTTAAAGCATTCAGCTAGTAATTTGCCGGAAATTCTTGTTTTGAAAACTATAGTTTTTATTACCACATATTGAGCAAATAATACGAAATTAAAAATTATATTTTACCATATAAAAGGTTTTTATACCATGCTCTCAAGTATCAGGATAAAATTAAAAAACAAAATTACAAAATTTAAAATATTAGTAAAGCGCTTCTATAAAAACTACCGAGCTTTTTGGTGTTCCCATAGAGCCAGAAACAAGGTAAATTTTGCTATTTCTAGGTAGACTTGACTATACTTTTTTTCCTCTGTGTAATAAGAAATTATTAACTTTTTAACTAAAGATTTATTTTCGATTATTTTGTGCAATTTGTTATTTAATATTAAAAAAATTAAACTTGCAAAATAAATTTAAAATTTAAGATGATATCTATGCGAAAATGGTTTATTTGCTAAAAAAATACTGTGTTTAATTAAAAAAATACGTTAAAATTCTTTGTAAGGCATATGAAAATAATTATCAAAGTTTAGAAGTTTAAAATGTTTCTTAATCATAGTTGGGATATATTTTACTGTGAAGACTGTAATAACAATCTGAACAATCAAAACTAAATAATTTAACTTTTGATATCTTTTCTAAAAGTATTCAAACCTCAAAACAAATGTATCAACAAATAATATTATCAAAAATATCTTAATAATGATTGTTAGAATTTTTTCCCTTTCTTTCTCTTTTTTCAAAATATTATTTATAAAAACACTTCTGCAGAGAACTTATGTCTAATAACGATAATTATCCAATTATAAGCAAAAACGTTATATAATTCGCATAGTTAAGAAATGAAGAGCTTTGCAAAAACATATTCCTCTTGTTCATGAAATGTGCGACTTTATAGATTTATTTTTTTTTAGACTTTTAGCATATCTGCGTAGGAGAATATTCTTCAGTTATGAATGTCGATATACTTGCTGAAAATGTAGCATACTTGCAAATACTGAAAATGTAGATATATTTGCTAAACTAAG